CCATACCTACTGAATCAGAAACTGTGAGGTAAGGCCCAGAAATCTGTGGTTTGATCAGTGATTCTGATGCCTGACAAAGTTTATTTTTAACTTTTAATTTTTACTATTTATTTATTTTGTTTTTTAATTGACACATCATAATTGTACATATTTATGGGGTAGAGTGTGATGTTTTGATACATGTATACATTGTGTAATAATCAAATCATAGTATTTAGCATATCCATTATCTCAAACATTTATCATTTCTTTGTGGTGAGAACATTCAGAATTTTCTCTTCTAGTTATTTTGAAATATATACTATAATATTGTTTACATAGTCACCCCACTGTGTTACAGAATACCAGAACTTACTCCTATCTAACTGTAATTTTGTGCTTGTTGACCAACCTGTCCCCATCAATCCCTTCCCTTTACCCATCCCAGCCTCTGGTAAACATTGTTCTACTCTGTACTCCTATGAGATCAGCATTTCTAGATTCCACAAATGAGTGAGATCATGCAGTATTTGTCTTTCTATGCCTGGCTCATTTTGCTTGACATAATGTCCTCCAGGTCCATGCATGTTGCTGTGAATGTCAGAATTTGATTCTTTTTTTTATGGCTGAGTAGTAGTTCACTGTATATATACATACCACATTTCTTTAACCATTTGTCTTAGTTGTCTATCATCACCTTAGGTTGATTCTATATCTTAGCTATTGTGAATTGTGCTGCAATCAGTGGTGCAGGTATTTCTTTCACATACTGATTTCATTTCCTATATACCCAGTAGTGGAATTGCAGGGTCATATGGTAGTTCTATTTTTATTTTTTTGAGGAAATCACATATTGTTTTTCATAATGGTTATACCAATTTACATTCCCACCAATAGTGTGTAAGGATTCTCTTTTTTCCACATCCATACTAGCATTTGTTATGTTTTGTCTTTTTGATAATAGCCATTTAAATGGGGTGAGGTAATATCTCACTGCGGGTTTGATTTGCATTTCCCTGATAATTAGTGATGTTGAGTATTTTTTTTATGTTGGCCATTGTCATATCTGCTTTTGAGAAATGTTTATTCAGATAATTTGCCCATTTTAAAATCAGATTATTGGCTTTTTTGCTATTGAATTATTTGAGTTCCTTACATATTCTGTATATTTATTTATCCTTTGTCAAATGCATAGTTTTCAAGTATTTTCTCGCCTTCTGTAGGTTGTCTCTTCATGCTGTTAATTATTTCCTTTGTTGTGCAGAAGCTTTTCAGTTTAATGTAATCTCATTTGTCTAGTTTTGCTTTTGTTGCTTGTGATTTTGAGTTTTTATTTAAAAAATCCTTGCCAAGACCAATGTCGTGAAGCATTTCTCCTATGTCTTCTTTTAGTGGTATTATAATTTCAGGCCTTAAATTTAAGTCTTTAATCCATTTTGAGTTGCTTTTTATATGTGGTGAGAGATGGTCTAGTTTAATTCTTCTGCATGTGGATATCCAGTTTTTCCAGCACTATTTATTGAAGAGACCATCCTTTCCTCTAGTGTGTTTTTGGAACTTTTGTTAAAAAATCAGTTGATTGTGTGTGGATTCATTTCTGTGTTCTCTATTCTGTTCCATTGGTTTATGTGTCTGTTTTATGCCAATATCACACTGTTTTGATTACAATAGCTTTGTAATATATTTTAAAGTCAGGTAGCGTTATGCTTTTAGCTTTATTCTTCTTGCTCAAGATTGTTTTGACTATTTAGGATATTTTGTGGTTTCATATGAATTTTAGAATTTTTTTCTATTTCTGTGTAGAATGTCATTGGTATTTGGATAGGGATTGCATTGAATCTGTAGATTACTTTGGGTAGCATGGGCATTTTACTTCTAATCTGTGCTTCTAATTATTAATTGTTATTAATTAATTAATATTAATTCTTCTAATCCATAAACATGGAATATCTTTCTATTTATTTGTATCCTCTTCAATTTCTTTCATTAATGTTTTACAGTTTTAATTGTAGAGATCTTTCACCTTCTTGGGTAAATTTATTCCTAGGTATTTTTTTTTATAGCTATTGAAAGTGGGATTACTTTCTTGATTTCTTTTGCAGATAGTTTGCTGATGGCATGTATAAAATGCTACTGGTTTTTATATGTTGATTTTGTATACTGCAACTTTACTGTATTTGTTTATTAGTTCCAACAGTTTTTTTGTGTGGAGTCTTTATGGTTTTCCATCTACATATTAATGGCATCTGCAACCAGGGACAATTTGACTTCCTTCTTTTCAATTTGGATGCCCTTTATTTCTTTCTCTTATCTAATTGCTCTGGCAAAAACTTCCAGTACTATGTTGAATAGAAGTGGTGAAAGTAGGTATCTTTGTATTTTTCCAGATCTTACAGAAAAAGCTTTCAGATTTTCTCTATTCAGTGTGATGTTAGCTGTGGGTTTGCCATCTATGGTCTTTGTTGTGTTGATGTACATTTCTTCTATACCTAATATGTTGAGAGTTTTTATCATGAAGCGATGTTGAATTTCATCAAATGCTTTTTCTGCATATATTGAAATGATACTATATATTTTTCCCTTGATTTTGTTAGTGTGGTATACCATGTTTATCTGTACATATTGAACCATCTTTGCATCACTGATCTGAATCCCACTTGATCACATTTTTTGTGAGGCTGGGCTAATGGTGATGAATTCCTTTGGTTTTGCTTGTCTGGGGGAAGACTTTATTTCTCCATTCTGAAGGATATTCCATTTCTGGGCATAGTATTCTTGGCTGACAGTTTTTTTTTTCTTTCAGCACTTTGACTATATTATCCCATTCTTTCCTCACCTGAAAGGTTTTTGCTGACAAATCTGCTGATAGTCTAATAAAAATTATCTTAGATGTGACTTGACACTTTTTCTGTTTTTAGAATTCTTTTTTTTTTTAATTAACTTTTGACTATTTATGATGTGTGTGCCTCAGGGAGGACTTTTTTTGGAGGTTGAATCTATGTGGAGACTTTGAGCTTTCTGGATATGGATGTCAATATATCTTCCAAGATTTGGGAAGTTTTCAGCTATTATTTTGTTAAATAGGTTTCCATGATTTTTCCATCTCTTCTTCTTCTGGAACTCCTATAATGAGACTATTTGTTCACTTAATGGCGTCCCATAGGTCCCATAAGGTTTCTTCATTCTTTTAAAATTCTTTTTCTTTTTTATGACTGGTTTATTTCAAAAGACCTGTTTTCCAGTTCAGAAATTCTTTCTTATGCTTGATATAGTCTATCATTGAAGTTCTTAATTATATTTTTTATTTTCTTCAATGAATTTTTAGCTCCAAGATTTCTATTTAGTTCTTTTTGTTAAAAATGATATCTATCTCTGCTGAATTTCTCACTCAGAGGATGAATTGTTTTCCTGATTTCATTGAATTATCTATCTGCATTCTCTTGTATTTCTCTGAGTTTCCTTAAGATCATTATTTTGAATTCCTTTTCATGCATTTCATAAATTTCCTCTTTTTTAGTGTTTTCTCTGGACATTGGAGAATTACTGTATTCCTTTTGAGGTGTCATGTTTCTTTGTTTTTCTGTGTTTCTTCTGTCCTTATGTTGATATCTGCACATCTGGTGGAACAGTCGCCTCTTCCAATTTTATGAAGTAGCTTTTGCAGGGAAAGATTTTTTCATGTAGATGAGCCCTAAGGCATTGCTTGGGTAGGATGATTTGGCTTTGGTTCTGAGTGGGTATAGTAGTGTAGTCTCTATGTGATTTCTTCAGCTCTATTCAACATCAGCAGTGTCTGTCGGTGCTTTAGTTACCTGGGCTGTAGGTATTTGTGGAGATGGTGGTGTGGCTTTTCTGGGGGCAGTGCTATTGGGTGGGCTAGTACTTAGGTCCTGTGGAGTGTATGCAAAACATGACAATTCTATTCGTCACAGGGGCAGCGTTGCTGTGGGTAATATTGCGGAGTGGGCTGGTCCTCAGGATACTTGTCAAAGTTTAAGAACAACTGATGTAGTGGTTAGAATAATGGGCTTTGCAATCAGATGGATCCAGTTTTCTCTCTTGGTTCTTTCTCATTTTTTGTAATTTATTTAACTTCTCTGAGCCTTAATTTCTTTATTTATAAAATGGACATCTTAATAATGATGATGCTAACATAACAATGATCAAGAGAATAAAAATACCTACTCTATAGAATTTTATATTTATTAAATAATCTAATGTAAATAGAACCTTTAACATCTTGTCTGGAAGATAATAAGTGCTTAATAAATAATAATTATTATAATATGCTCATACAAATAGAGAAGAAAGGGAAAAGTAGGAGAAGAATTCCAATTTATAAAGATATAATACTAAAGTCTCCTAACCCACATGACTCATTTTATGGGGATGTGGATTTGGTAGTACTTGAACTGGTAGCTTATGTCTCATTTCACTATGGCAATTCACCTCTCCCTTTGGCTATTGAAGGCTAATGATTCTTTTATGAAATAACACAAGTCCAAACAATGAAAAGAATAAAAGATGGGTCTGTATAGTACATTACCAGATAATAGAGATGATTCAAGCAAAGAATAGTAAACAAAGAAACTGCTTTCCCAAAGCCAGGAAAAATAATCTTCAGATTTTATTTTCACATTAGACAGCGTTTCAGTTGTTTCTCAAGTTATTTAAAAAGAAGTTAGTTAGTGGAACCTATATAAAGTGTCACTAGAGCTTGAGGAATTCGATTGTTGATACGGTCTGTGAGGAATTTTTAAAAATATCAATTATCAAATGTTTTGGAGGTAAATGTTGCTATTGAAGTCATAAAAATTATTATGTCAAAGACTATGAATCTGTCATTACCCATAACAATTACAATTTATAGCTCTGCCATTGCTCATAATTACACATATTTATTTTATAATTTAACACCAAAGGAAACTATGAACATACTTAAAGATTTAAATGTAACTTCGATAAAGAAAAATTATTCTAAATAAATATACACTGTTATGGTAAATTCTTAAACAACTTACTTGTGATAATTGGTATGTCAAAGATTTGTCATTACTACTCTCATTAAAAACAAGTGATTTTTCACTGTGAACTTTGGAATTTTAGAATGTTTACATTCTAGAATGTAGATTCTAGAATGTTTACATTCTAGAATATTTTTGCATCTTTAAAGTGCTTGAATTCTCTCTCTCTCTTTATACACACAGATGTGTGCACGCATACAAACACACACACACACACACACACACACACACACACACACACACACACACACATTTCTTTCCAAAGCTGAATACTGTCCTGTCTGTCTATCTACCTATCTATCCATCCTGGCTAACAGTAAAGAGTTACTTTTCAAATAACTACATGGACCTAAGTCAAAAATTTTTATCCCCCAATTTGACGTAAGTGCAAATGAAGAAGACTAAGAAGAAGACTTAAGTTGTTTAATTTTGGAGTGCAACATTATGAACTAGACATGACAGGGTGATATAAAATAATTTCTCAGATAACCCTCAGAGAGCAGCATTCCCTATGTGAATGAGACTTGGGAGAATATCCAGCAATGAGAAGGCTGGATCACATTGTTAAGATCTTCCATGGTGATGGTGAAATGTGGGAGGCTGGAAAATTTTCTCTTCCTGAGGGTACAGTAAAAAGGTTGGGGGTAGCCTCTCAAGTTAGACAAGTCTCTTTTTCCTCCTCTCTCTCTCTTTATTTCTTGACTGGAAGAGAAGATACTGAGAAGTAGTACAATATATAGAATCACAAGAATGGGATGTGAAGTCAGTTGGATCTGGATGTGAGTATCTTCTCCATTACTTCATTCCTTTCTAGGTGTGTGACCTTGGGTGAGTCACTTAACTTCTCTGAGGCTCAGTTTCCTGAAAGTCATGACATGTGGTCAAATGAGATAATATATATGAAAATGTGGTAAAAATGTAAACACTATAAATATTATTTATTATTATAAAAGTTTGTGACCCAACAATATGCTCATATCCTCTTTTCCTGGAAAATAATTAGTAGACCAAGGACTCTATTGTTTTTCTCTCACCCCTAACACTCTAAGGAAGGCAGACTGGACACCTGAACCCATTGAACTTGCAAGGTGACCATGTTGCACAGATATTGTCTTTGTCACCCTGGATCTTAAATTTTTATATTTAAAGGTACACATATATGCCAATTGGGCGAATATTATATTTTTCCAAATGTGCATATCTACTCAACTGTGCAAAAGCTTGCATCTTTGATGATTGACAATATTCATTTTCTTTAACTCATTAACACCACTTGTCTAAATGCCATCTTTGAGGTTTAGGAGGAAGGAGATCTTCAGAGGCAAACTATTTCATAGGAAGGGCCTTTTGGAATTTTGCTGTCTCCTTCCTCAGATTGGATCCAAGGTGCCAGGCCTTGATGTGACTTTTCTCTACTGGCATCTTTATAATGATGAGGCTCCAACATATGTTGGTGGTTTCCTTCCATCTGTCTTGGGATCCAGCAGGGGGTTGGAAATCCCAGCCAAGCTACTTTTAGGAACAAAGATACAATATAATGATTTTCCATTTCCTCTCATTTTGTTTTCTTTTTTGTTTCTCATTATGTAAATTCCAGAAAACTAATCATGCAGTAGAACAGGACTAGCATTTTTGGTCAAAATTCTTTATTCATCTGTGTGAGATGCCCAAGCACATAGTCTGGCATTGTATTTTAATGTCTCAAGAAGAGGGGGGATTGAATATATTCCAGAATATCTTTCATTTAGTTAGAGTAAAAATATCAGACCCAGAATATTTCAGAATAAAGTGCTGAGCACAGACTTTTGCAATTAGACACTTTCAGAGAAAAGGGGCTCAGCCTTCTCATAGGAATTTAAAGAGTGAAACACTTTAAACAGGGGCCACATATATCAGAGACCTTTCTTTCTGGTGTTCTTATCTTCTAGTTTTAACTAACCCATGATAAAATTCTAGCTTTAAGTAAATCTATTATAATTCTTGATTTAATTTTTTTCCTGAAAACCCTCTGTCGGATATGTTTTGGGGGAGTGGACAGCAGTGTTCTTCTTATCTTTCTTTTTCCATTTAAAAACTCTTTTACCAAGATGGGCTACTTGACTTTTCCTCCAGCCATCAATTATTGACCATGTGATATGATCTGGGCACAGTGTTAGAAACACTTATCTATATTATCCTATTTTGGTCCCATAGCAATTTTGAGTACAGATGCTATTATTGTCTTTATTTTATAGAAAAGGAAATTGAGGTATAGGAATTAAATAAACTGCCCAAGGGCCCTCCACTAGTAAGGGGCGGAGCAGGAATTAACCTACGAGAATGTCTTTTGCTTGAGATTCTAAGACTTACACAGTTCCTAATCAGGAGGAAAGGAAAGAGCCTATTTGATAGCTCAGCCTGTCATAGTATAAGTTTTTTGTCAAAATGAATATAATTCCAGTATTTAAAAACCCATTATTTTTTAATTAAATTAAAGGTGTGTATCCCAAATGCTGGAGAAGATTATGACTGGACTGGGCTTATTGAAAGATGAAAATGTTGGACTCCACTAGCTTTTTCATAGGAAATATTCAAAAGAAAATTTGACTGTACAACTTTTTGCCTTTCCCACTGACTTGGGAACCTATGTGATTTCTATGTAGCATGCAGTCTCAACTATATTAAAGGTGGAAGTTTAAAAACATTCAAGGATCAAAGTAATACCACAATTTCTTTATCCATTCATCCATTGATGGACACTTAGGTTGATTTCAAATCTTGACTACTGTGAATAGTGCTGCAGTAAACATGGGAGTGCAGATATCTTTTCAATATATTGAATTCCCTTCTTTTTGATATAGCCTTCTTTTTGATATAGCCCTACCAATGGCATTGCTGGGTTATAGGGTAGTTCTATTTTTAGGTTTTTGAGAAATCTCTATACTGTTCTCCATAATGGTTGCACTAATTTACATTCCTATCAATAGTGTATGTGGGTTCTCCTTTCTCTACATCCTTACCAGCATTCATTTTTGCCTGTCTTTTTGATAAAAGCCATTATAACTGGGGTGAGATGATATCTCATTGTAGTTTTGATTTGCATTTCTCTGATGACTAATGATGTTGAGCATTTTTTCATATACCTGTTGGCCATTTGTGTGCCTTCTTTTCAGAAATGTCTGTTCAGATCCTTTGCCCATTTAAAATCAAATTATTTGATTTTTTCCATTGAGTTGTTGGAGTTCCTTATATATTCTGATTATTAATCCCTTGTCAGATGGGTAGTTTGTAAATATTTGTTCCCATCATGTGAGTTGTCTCTTCACTTTGTTGATTGTTTCCTTTGCTGTGCAGAAACTATTTTAGCTTGATGTGATCCCATTTGTCCAATTTTGCTTTGGCTGCCTGTGCTTTGGGGGTATTACTCAAGAAGGCCTTGCCCAGACCAATGTCCTGAAACTTTCCCCCAGTGATTTCTTTTAGTAGTTTCATAGTTTCAGGTTGGTCTTAGGTTTAAGTCTTCAATCCATTTTGACTTAATTTTTGTATATGGTTAGAGATAAGAGTCTAGTTTCATTCTTCTGCCTATGGATTCAGTTTTATCACACGATTTATTGAAGAGACTGTCATTTCCTCACTATATTTTCTTGGCACTTTTGTTGAAGATAAGTTCACTATAGATGTGTGTATTCATTTATCAGTTCTCTATTCTGTTCCACTGGTCCATTTGTCTGTGTTTATGCCAACACCATGCGTTTTTGGTTACCACAGCTTTCTGGTATTATTTGAAATCAGTAATGTGATTCCTCTGGTTTTGTTCTTTTTGCTCAGCATGGCTTTGGCTATTCTAGGCATTTTGTGGTTCCACGTAAATTTTAGGATTATTTTGTCTACTTCTATAAAGAATGTCATTGGTATTTTTATGGGGTTTGCATTCATTCTGTAGATTGCTTTGGTAGTATAGACATTTAACACTATTGAATCTTCCAGTACATGAACATGAACTAACTATCTTTCCACTTTTTGTGTCCTCTTCAGTTTCTCTCATCAATGTTTTATAGTTTTCATTATAGAGATCTTTTACTTCTTTCGATAAGTTTATTCCTAAGAATTTTATTTCATCTATAGCCACTGTAAATGGGATTACTTTCTTGGTTTCTTTTTCATATTATTTGCTGTTGGCATATAGAAATGCTACTGATTTTCGTATGTTGATTTTGCATTCTGCAACTTCACTGAATTTGTTTATCAATTCTAAGAGGGTTTTTTGTGTGGAGTCTTTAGGTTTCTCTTTATATAAGATTATATCATCTGTAAATAAGGATACTTTGATCTCGTCCTTTCCTATTTGGATGCCCTTTATTTCTTTCTTTTGTCTGATTGCTCTAGCTAGAATTTCCAGTATGATGTTGAATAAAAGTTGTGAAAGTGGGCATCTTAGAGAAAAGACTTTCAGTTTTTCCTCATTCAGTATGACACTAGCTGTGGGTCTGTCATATATGGCTTTTATTGTGTTGAGGTTAAGTTATTTCTATACCCAGTTTTATGAGTGTTTTTAATCATGAAGGGATACTGAATTTTATTGAATGCTTTTTTACCATCAGTTGAAATGATCATCTGGTTTTTGTCCTTTGTTCTGTTAATATGATGTATCACATTGATTTGCATATGTTGAACCATCCTTGCATCCCTGGGATGAATCCCACTTGATCATGAGGAATAATCTTTTTAGCGTGTTGGTGAATTCACTTTGCTAGTATTTTTTTGAGTATCTTTGCTTCTGCGTTCATCAGAGATATTCGCCTATAATTTTCTTTTCTTGTTGAGTTATATTCTGGCCTTGGTATCAGCATAATTCTGGCCTCATGAAATGAGTTTGAACGTGTTTCCTAATCTTCAGTTTTTCAGAAGAGTTTGAGAAGGATTGGCATTAATTCTTTAAATATTTGATAGAATTCACCAGCAAGGTTATTTGGTCCTGGGATTTTCTTTGCTGAGAGATTTTTTATTACTGCTTACATTTACTTATTTGTTATTGGTATGTTCATATTTTCTATTTCTTAATGATTCAGTCTTAGTAG